GCTCATTTTACTTTATTTTTCTGGAATATGAAAGATACTTTAAAAGTATAATTTTTACAACTTAGATCATGTAATTTGGTTAAGTATTAGTTGAGTTATAGTAGATTTTGTATTTGAGTGTACTTAGTGTGACGAAAATCACGAATCGCGCGTGTGACAATATTTATGAAAACGACAGTAAATTGAAAAGCGTGTAGCTTCTCTTAGTCTGAGTGTTGGAATAGATGCTTATGATGGAATACTTTGACATTGAAATTTTCACATGCCTAGTATTTCCATTCGCAAGTGGCAGTAACCTGTACGCTAAAATGACATCAACATTAGTCTCAGAGAAGGACGTTGCTATTGACTTGCGGTTGGTTGCAAGTGATATTTGTTGATGTCAGGTCTCTAATAGTTTTACCAACAGTGAAGCATTACTGGCAATTAAACAGCTACACGATGCGAATGTAATCCACCGCGATGTGAAGTAGGCACAATTTATCGCTATTGTTACAGATATAATCCGCTTACATATACATCACTAGACCAGAGAATTTTTTATTTATGGGCGACAAGCTTGTTATTTCTGATCTTGGCAGGTCAGTTATTTCTGAAAATTAAATATGTTGTAACCTAGGAATCTACGTTTAACTACATTCTTTCCAAAGTGCATATATTAATGATGAAACTTATAAAGTTGATCTCAAAAATAAGCAAACAACAGGAATTTACCTGGCTCCAGAGGCCATGCCTCACGATGATAAACCAAGAGTGGTAAGTCAGAAAGGTGACATTTTCCCTGTTGGGTGGGTATTCCAATCTCGATTTCTGCAACTAGCTATTAATAAGCTATAAAGCATGATGGCAGTTGAATGGCTTATCGGAAGACATCCATATCTTCATGACAATGAGGAAAAGGAGATACAGCTTATTGAGGAACATGCAGTTGACTTTGATCGCCGGTTTCGAACTGAATGGAAAAACATCACACCACAAGGTTAGTTCATATGTCATAACTGCCTCATACAGTACATGGCATGCAGTAACTGAATTTTCCAAAGGACAAAGGTTCATAAAGGAGACTACGTGCGTGGATAAGGATAAGAGGTTGGATGTAGATAAGGCTCTTGGACACGAAGTGAGAATTTGCATCCCCACTCTTTAAATTGGTCGCTAATATGCACGTCTAAAGTGGTTTACACTGATAGAAAAGCCTGATGGAGAAGTCCCAGAACGATTCCTAAGGAAGACTCACAGAGTGATCCAAGACCAAGTGAGGCGAGAAGTCAAGAGAATTAGATTTAATAGAAAGAAACGGAAGTTTGAAATCACTGTCAACTCAACATCACGTATTGGCCGGATGCTGGTACGAGGGAAGCAACAGCGTCAATCATCAGGATCTTCTCAGAGGCATTCAAATGCAAGTTCACATCATTCTACAAGAAGTACGAGGGTCGGCGAGAAGAAAGGCCCATCTAGACTGCAAAAAAAGACACGTTAAGACCGGCCAAACGCAGAAGTAATAGGCTCCATGTCATGTATCTGTAGAGTAACGAAATAAGTGTCA